GTTCTCCAGCAGTCAAGCAGCTACATAAGCAGAAAGGGCATCGGATGTGCTTTCTTTTGTCAGTAGTGGAAACAAAAAGAAGAAATTAAAAAAGAATTAAAGTGAAAAAAGAAGAAAAGAAACAAAAAGTGAACAAATAGATGAAAAAAAGATAAATAAACTTAATGGATTCCACGGGATAAGTGGCAAGCACAGGCATTTGCTGCACCTTTTTTTGCCTGCTGGGGGCTGTTCAAGTGCGTTGCTGCTGCAGCTACTGCTGCTGCTGCTGCGGCTGCTGCAGCAGCAGCAGCAGCAGACGTTGAATTTCAATGTTTTTGCATGCGGTAAGCAGCTGCCTGTACACCGCAGCATGGGTTGTGGGAGCCAGAGGCGGTAGCAGCAAAGGTGCTGCTCTGCAGCAGCAGCAGGAGCTGCTGCAGGGCCAGCAGCTGTTTCATTAGCAGCAGCAGCAGCTGTAGCAGCTGCGGGGGCTGTAGCTTAGCAGCAGCGAAGCTGCAGCAGCAAGTGCAGCTGTTGCAGCAGCAGGGGCTGTAGCTTAACAGCAGCAAAGTTGCAGCAGCAAGTGCAGCTGCGGCTTTGCTGCTGTTGCGCCAGTAATGGCTGAAGTGCGTCGTTGCTGCGTTGCTGCTGCCCTGAGGGGAGCAGCTAAGAGAGAATAAAGTGGATAATTTTGGAGTGCATTCCTCTTGTAGGGTTTAGGGTTTAGGGTTTAGGGTTTCAATGCGGCGCGCGCCTGCATGGGCCTCCCAGACCAGGACTTCGACCAGGCAGGGTGGGAAGTGCAGCAAAATAAAAATGCAACGAGAAAGTGCAAATGGAATATATCACTTTAAAGGGAGGAGTCGAGGTGTACGTACACCTCAACTCCACGCAGAGGTCGAATCGATTTCGGCCTCCGCTGGCTAGAGCCCAAACCCTAGTCGCTAAACCCTAAACCCTAAACCCTCGCTGACGGGCAAAGCCTCCAAAGCCCCGACCCCCCGGAGTTCTCTTCACCTTTTTACCATTGTTTGCTGTCTCTCCTTTGAAATATTCCCCGCAAACCCTAAACCCTAAACCCTAGCCTCGCCGCGCAGTCAGCTGCACGGTTTCTAGATAGCACAGGTGGCAGCAGTTCCTTCCTTCGATTTCCAAGTGTAGATATACCCGAAATTCACGTAGTAGACTTTTCATTGTTAGGAAAACGAAAGAGGCAGAAAGAAGCAGCGCTGCTGCTGCTGCTGCTGCTGCTGTTGCTGCTGCTGCTGCTGCTGCTGAACTGCCGACACAGCTCAAAGCAGCAAAGCGTGCTTCGTTGGAGCAGCAGATATTTCTGCCTGTATCCCAAGGCTCACCTTACCTTCTTTTCCCTTCTAATACATTTGCCGTGGCTTTATTCATTGCTGGTTTTTCTTCTGCTGCTGCAGCTGCCGTTGCTGCTGCAGCAACTCGAGCATCTGTTGCTTGCACTCAATTCAGTGTCTACATCCCCCGCTTCACCTGCGCACGTCTTCCTTCTGCACAGCAGCAACGAATACGCTTACCAGAAGCAACAGCAGCAGTAACAGCAGCAGCAGCAGCAGCTGCAGCAGCTGGTCTTCATGCACGGCCTTCAAGTGCTTCCTCGCCACAGCCCTGACGGCTACATCCTTGGCATCCTGTATGTGCCTTCCCTTTGATTAGTTTCTGCTGCTGCTGCACCTGCTGCTGCAGTTGGCGTTGGTACCAGAGGTCCCTAAGTAAAGGCGGGAGGCCAAGCAGCAGCAGCAGCAGCAACAGCAGCAGCAGCAGCAGCACAGGTGCCCGCACCTATCTCATATTTGTCAGGCTTTCCCCTCCCGCACAGCAATGCCTGCTGGCCTCACTAGAGGCTGCCAGCTGGCGGCAGTGCTGCTGCTCTGCAGCATTTGCGTGGCCAGCAGCAGCAGCAGCACGCTAGCTCCTGCAGTGGCTCAGCCGCTGCCCCCAGCTGAGCAGAAGCAGCAGCAGCAGCAGCAGCAGCAGCAGCAGAAGCAGCAGCAGAAGGAGCCGTACTGCGAGGAGCCAACAGCAGTGGGGCTGGGCATTGCGTGCCCCCCGAGCAGCTCGCGCCCCACCGCCGCAGCAACTGCGCCCGCAGCAGCAGCAGCAGCAGCAGCAGCAGAGCTGAAGCAGCAGCAGCTCATCTTAATAGCAGCAAATGTCCCTATGGGCAGAGACCGCGTCTTTGGCAGCCACGCGGGCCCCCGGCAGGAGCGGCTGCAGCCGTACATGAGGAGCTTGAAGAAGCTGAATGAGCGGCGGCAGCGTGCTGCAGCAGCCAGCAGCAGCAGCAGCAGCAGCAGCAGCGCGGCCGCGCAGCAGCAGCAGCAGCAGCACACACACACAGACTTGTCCCTCGCAGACGCAGCAAGAATCCTCAAAGCTGCTCTCGGAGACGCTGTAGACCAGCCCCTGACTTTCTCCTTTTTGCGGCGGCTGCTGAACGCCATCAATGTGCCCATTGCAGCAGCACCAAGCCAGCAGCAGCAGCAGCAGCAGCAGCAGCAGCAGCAGCAGCAGCAGCAGCAGGGGGAGGAGAGGCTGGCGCTGCCGCAGGTGCTGCGGCTGCTGCAGGTCGCAGCGGGCGCGCAGACCATCACTTCTGCTGCTCTCGATGGTTTGCTGGCAGCAGAAGCTGTTTCTTTTGTTTTGGGGGAGGAAGCAGCAAGTGGAGCAGCAGCAGCAGCAGCAGCAGCAGCAGCAGAGCTGGAGGCCCGCCTCGAGACTCTTGCTGTTGAGTACATCGACGCAGCCACACGCTTCTACGCTGAGGGCACTCCTTATTTGCTGGCGCTGCACAGCAGCAGCAAACCAGTGCGAGAGAAGATGCTGCTGCAGCTCAAGCACCTGCAGCAGCAGCAGCAGCAGCCGCTGCCGAAGCAGCAGCAGCTGGACGTGCTGCAGTCCGCGAACTCCATCCAAGCCAGAGCGACCCTTCTCGTGGCACAGAAGCTTCCTCAGTTCGTTGCTGCTGCCCTGAAGGAAAGCAGCAGCAGCAGCAGCAGCAGCAGCAACTACGAGCTGCACATAGAAGTGCTGGAGGGGCTGCTGGTGTCAGTGCTGCTGCACACAGAAGCAGCATACATGTTTGCTGCTGCTGACGCCGACGCGAACGGCAGCCTGGACAGCGCGGAGTTCCTGTGTCTGCTGCTGCTGCAGCAGCTGCACCTGCAGCAGCTGCTGCACGTGGCAGCAGCAGCAGCAACAGCAGCAAATCTGCGCACGAGCGCAGCAGTTCTTGACACCCCCTGGACAGGAGAACTGGGGGCGGGCTGGCTCGAGGCTGCGCCGCTGCTGCAGAAGCTGCTGCCTTCTGTTTCCTTTTGTCTTTTTGCTGCTGCAGATGCAGACAGCAGCAGCAGCCTCAGCTACGACGAGCTTTACGAGTTTCTTAATCAGCAAGACTTGCTTGTTGCTGCTGCTACTCAGACCCTCTCGGGCAAGGGCGCCGTGCTTTACCTTTAGTGCAGCAGCTGCTGCTGAGACGCAGCAGCAGCAGTTCCTGCTGCACTGCAGCAGCAGCAGCTGCCGCTGCGGTGCGGCAGCTACAGCAACTGCTGCTGCAATGATAGCAGCAGGGGCTCCGGGCTTTTTGCTCTGTATTCTTGACAAACTGCAGCGGCTGCAGCAGCAGCGAGCTGCGGAAATGACGGAATTTTCGGCTGCTGCAGCAGGTGCAGCAGCAGCAGGTGCAGCAGCTGCAGCAGCTGTAGGCAAAGACACCGCATAAGGTCTGCAGCACCTCTGGCTGGCACCTAGTCGTGGGGGTATTGCTTTAGTGCTGCACGTACAAAGTATCTACCAGCAGCAGCAGCAACAACAGCAGCACCTGCTGCAGCAGCAGCCTTTCCAGCAGCAGCAGCCTTTCCAGCAGCAGCAGCAGCAGCAAGAGCTGCTGCTGCTGCTGCCAGTGCCTCCCCACTTCAGTGTTGTCAGTCTCCTTTGGTTTTTGCCCTTTCATTAATGCCTCCCTTTTCGGAGGAGTTTGCTTTAGGCAGTTGCTGCTGATTTACTGCACTTTTGCTGCAGCAGAAGCTGCAGCAGCTGCAGCAGCAGCTACAGCAGCAGCAGCTGCAGCGGCAGCTGCAGCAAGAGACAACGGGCCCTTTTGTCCCACATATGAACACACATTTTATTTGCTCTCTTTGAATTACATTGGTCCCCAACATCTGGGAGTGTGGTTTAGGGTTTAGGGTTTGGGGTTTGGGGGAGGGTTTGAGGATTAGGGTTTTGGTCCGTTGCTGCTGCTGCTAGAAATTTATATCTATTCCTGTGGCTACTTTTGTGTCTCTTTAGCAGCGGATCCCGCTTTTCTGTCTGTTTCCTGCTGCAGCAGCAGCTTCTGCTGCAGCAGCAGCAACTGCAGCAGCAGCCGTAGCAACTTCATATGCACTAGAACAGCAAGGGCGACACAAGCAGCAGCTGCTGCCTCTACTGCTGCTGCAGTATATACAAGTTGCATAGACTATTAAAGCAGCAAATAGTGCAGCAGCTGCTGCTGTTACTGCATCTCTTGAAGGCGCTGCCTTGATGAGCTTCACAGCAGCAGCTGCCGCTGCTGCGGCCTCAAGAGCGGCAGCAACACCGTCTTTTCAGGGCGTGCTGCACTGTTGCAGCTCTTGCTGCATCAGGTTCAGCAGCAGTTGCTGCAGCTGCTGCCCCATGCCCCCGCAGAAGCTGCTGCTGCAGCAGCCGCTGCTGCTGCTGGTCACAACAGCGCCTGCTCTGCCGCCTCGTGGGTGACGTCTGTGGGCGAGTGCTGCAGCAGCCCCGGCAGCCACCGCGGGGAGCAGCAGCAGCTGCTGCAGCAGCAGCCGCTGCTGCTGCTGCAGATCCTGCTGCTGCTGCTGCTCATGCTGCTGGTCACAGCGCCTGCTCTCCCGCATCGTGCGTGATGTCCGTGGGAATGTGCTGCAGCAGCCCCAGCAGCCACCAGCGGTGCCAGCTGCTGCTGCAGTCGCTGCTGCTGCTGCTGCTGCTGCTGCTGCTGCTGCAGGTCACAGCAGCGCCTGCTCTGCTGCGTCGTGGGTGACGTCTGTGGGGGAGTGCTGCAGCAGCCCCAGCAGCCACCAGGGGTGGGGCTCAGCAAGCGGCAGCGCAAAAGGACTTATGCGTCTTATGTTTTCCACAAGAGTTTCTTCGCAGCAATTTGCTTCGAAAAGAGCCAGCGGCACGAAGACCCCAGTGCGCTGCTGCAGCTCCTGCTGCAGCAGCTTCCACAGCCGCTGCGGCTGCGCAGCAGCAGCAGCAGCGGCAGCAGCAGCCGCAGCGGCGGCCTGCGGGGAAGCCGCCGGCAGCTGCTGCTGCTGCAGCAGCAGCTGCTGCTGCTGCTGCTGCTTGAAACACCAAAAGGTCGTGGGGCCCCCAGCCACTGCAGCAAGAGCTGCTGCCAAGTGGCGCCGCAGCGCAGCAGCTGCGTGTCGCTTCCAAATGCCCCTTTTGAGGCCAGTGTAGAAGGCGTCGAAGACAAAGAGGCCCCCCAGCAGGCTGAGTGGCAGCAGCAGCAGCGCGGGCAGCAGCAGCAGCAGCAGCAGCAGCAGCAGCTGCGTCACCGGCTCGCTGCGCCAGCAAAACAGATTAAATACTCTTTCCAAAAATGAAACAGTGCGCCAGACACAATCCAGAAGTCTCTCAACTGCGCCCCGCAGTTCCCTATAGGTGGCAAACACGTCCAAGCTGCTGCTGCTGCTGCTGCTGCTGCTGCTGCTGCTGGGCTTCTTCTTGTTGTTGCTGCTGCTGTGCACGCTGCCTTCGGACGAAAGGTGCAGCTGCGAAACTACTGCTGCAGCTGCTGCTGTCTCGGCTTTCTCTCCTACAATGACACTGCGTTCGGCAGCAGCAGCTGCTGCTGCTGCTGCTGCTGCTGATGGGGCTGCAATGCGCGACGGGTGCATGCGCCCTCCAGCCCCGTGCTGTACTTTCAGGGCACTCGCAGCAGCAGCAGCAGCAGCTGCTGCTGCTGCTGCACGCCCCCGCAGCACCTTCGAGAAGCAAGCAGCGCAGAGGCTCGCGGGACAGCTGGCAGCAACCGGGGCCTGCTCAGCTGCTGCTGAGTCTGCTGCTCTGCAGCAGCTGTGCAGCATCTGCAGCAGCAACGAGGCGGCGCACGAGCTGGTGGGGGCCCTTGCTGCTGCTGCTGCTGCTGCTGTCGCTTCAGCAGCAGCGTCTAGACTGCTGCAGGGAGACTCGTGCAGAAGCGCCGCGCCCTCTGACGGGCCTTCTGCTGCTGCTGCTGCTGCTGCCATTGCTGCTGCTGCTGCTGCCTCGCGAATGGCACTTTGACACATGGGGGCCCCACAAGTAGCGCAAAAAGGAACAGGAGGAGGAAGGGCCCCCACAGGCAGCTGCGGCTGCATGCGCAGGTGCAGCAAGCGCCGCCACGGCCACCGCTGCTGCTGCTGCTGCTGCTGCTGCTGCTGCAGCCACAGAGCCTCTTCCGCGCGGTGCAGGCGGCATATTTCCCGCTCAGTTTCATGCTGCTGCTGCTGCTGAAGACTCAGTTGCTGCTGCTCCTGCTGCAGCACCAGCAACGCAGCAGCGGCTGGCCCGACCTCCATCAGAGGATGCACTTGTTGCTGCTGTTGCTGCTGCTGCTGCTGCTGCCGACGTCGCTGCTGCTGCAGCTTGAGTCTCTCATATCGGGGGGCTGCCAAGGACGGTCGCCGCCGCGATGGCGGCTCTTGTTGCGGCGCTTGCTGCAGTAGCTGCTGCTGTTGCTGCTGCTGCTGGTGTCCCTGTTGCAGCTGCTGCTGCTTTTGGGTTTGTTGTTGTTGCTGCTGCTGCTGCTGCTGCTGCTCTGAGAATGAGTCCACTGAGAAAGACTGCTTTACTTCGGGGACCCCCAGCAGCTCGAACCAAAACCCTCGCAGCCCACCGCCGCTGGCGCCGTCTGAAGTAGCAGCAGCAGCAGCAGCTGCTGCTGCTGCTGTTGCTGCTGCTGCTCCTGCGGGTGCAGTAGCAGCACGAGAGGCCAACAGCCCATCCTCTGCGGATGCGGGTGAGGGGCCTTCTGCTGCTGCTGCAGGAAGTTGTGTTGAAGCAAACTCGCTTTTGCTGCTGCTGACTGTATCAGCAGCAGCTGCCTGCGCTGCTGCAGCAGCTGCTGCAGCCTCTGTTGCAGCTACTGCCCCCGCCACGGCTGCAATGGCCGTGGCTCCTGCTGCAGCTAGCTGTGCGGCTGCTTCTTCCCCACCTGCTGCTGCTGCTGCTGCTGCTGCTGTTGCTGCTTTCGATTCAGCAGCGAGACTAAGTCCGCCGCTGCCAATGGGCTGCTGGTCCTGGTCTTCGTTTGCTGCTGCACTTATGTTTGCTGCTGCTGCCGCGTGTTCTGCTGCTGTTGAGGACCGCGTTGTGTCGCCTGCAGCAGTGCTGGCCGCTGCTGCTGGTGCTGCTGCTGCCGTTGCTTCTTGTTCTGCTGCTGCTGCTGCTTTTTCCTTGTCAGTTGCCAGAGAGGATGCCTCATTTTCTGTTACATCCGTTGCTGCTCCGCTGGGCTTTGCTGCTGCAGCTGCAGCGTCCAACGCTGCAGCAGCAGCAGCAGTCGGTGCTGCTGCTTCCGGTCCTGCTGCGTCGTGACTTCTGTCATTAGATTCCGCAGACTCAGCAGCAGAAGAACCAACTGCTGCAGCAGCAGGCTGCTGCTGCTTCAGTTCGCAGCTGCTGCCCTCGTTAGCTGCGTCCATCAACCGGGGTGTTGCGGCTGCATCGTCTGCAGCAGCAGCAGCAGCAGCAACAGCAGCAGCTCCCTGCGCCTCTGTGCTTTCTGCCGAGAAATAATTGTCTTCAACGCAAGCAGGAAGGCCCCACATGCCTGGTCCCTGCTGCTGCTGCTGCAGCGGCAGCTGCTCCCCTTGCTGCTGCTGCGGCAGCAGCTGCTCCCCTCGCTGCTGCTGCTGCTGCTGCTGCTGCTGCTGCTGCTGCTTTGCATTAGCCCACCTGCTAGGTCCGCGACCGCGTGAGCGCAACTTCTTTTCTAGCCAGGAAGAAGCGACTTTTGCTGCCTCAGCAAAAACCGTTTTTTTAGACCTGCTGTTGCTGCTGCTGCGGCTGCTGCTGCTGCCGCCGCTGCTGCGGGGAGTTTCTCCATCTGAGGAGGCACCTGAAAAGCTCTTGCGCCTGACCTGCTGCTGCTGCTGTTGTTGCTGCTGCTGCTGCTGCTTCAGACCTTCAATCGATGAAAGCGGCAAGCCTCCGAGGCGTGCAGGGACTCCTTGTGGGAGATCTTGCTGCAGCTGCTGCGGGGCACGCTCTTGCTGCTGCTGCTGCTGCTGCTGCTGTTTCTGCTGCTGCTGCTGCATTCTGCCGTTAAAGGTAAAGCCACGAGCGACTCTCCGTGGGGGCATCCATCTGAAAGGAAGGGACAGCACAAGGAAGCAGCAATCTGAGTCAAGGGGAGCAGCAGCAGCAGCGAAACAAGCAGCAGCAGCAACAGCAGAAGCAGCAGCGGCAGCAACAACAGCAAAAGGCGTTCTCCTGGTAAAGTGCAGAACAAAGGTCCCACAGCACGTTGCAGTGCGTCTCTGCGTTTCTCGAGGCCCGGCAGCAGCAGCAGCAGTAGCAACAACAACAGCGGCAGCAGCAGCAGCAGCAGCAGCAGCAGCAGCAGCAGCTCACGTGCGCCTGCGAACATCTGTCCTTGCGGTCTCTTTTGCTACCCATGGGCCTGTAAGACTTTCGCCATAAGCCCATCCGCATTCATCTGTCTCTTTTGAGACAACAACAGCAAACCCAGCAGCAGCTGCTGCTGCTTCAGTCTGCGGCTGCTGCTGCTGCTGCTGCTGCTGCTGCTGCTGCCCCTCTCGCGGGCTGTCTGCAGCTACCTGGAAGAAGCAGCTGCCCTTGAACTCCCCTTTGGGCCCGCGGCACTGGGCCTCTATAAGAGACACGGGAAAGGCGCTGCTGTTTTCGTCACTGTCTGCTGCTGCTGCTGCTGCTGCTGCTGCATCACCTGCTGCTGCTTCTGAGGTAAACTGCTGCTGCTCCATCCGGACAGTGGGCAGCAGCGGCAAGCAAAGCTGGCGCTGCAGCTGTTGCTGTTGCTGCCGCTGCATTTGCTCCCCTTGTGTCTCTCGCTGCCCCTTTTGCTGCAGCAGCAGCTGCTGGCTCTGCTGCCGCCGCTGCTGCTGCTGCTGTAGTAAGACACTGTGGCAGCTGCAGCGCTTGGCTGCGGCCGACAGCAGCTGCACAGTTAGAGGTCCAGGGCTGCCTCCTGCTGCTGACAGCAGCAGCAGCAGCTGCACGCGGTGCAGCAGCAACGCAGAGTGCAAGATAAAGCCCCAGAAGAAGCGGCTCAGGGGGCTGCTGCTGCTGCAGCGTTGCTGCTGCTGCTGCTGCTTCCGCTGCTGCAGCGACCGCAGCAAAGGCGACAGTATTCTCATCGGCCCCCCAGCAAGGCAGTTGATTCCGCAGCAGCAGCACCAAACAGGCTGCAGCAGCTTCTGCTGCTCCACCTCATTCTCGTGCTGCTGCTGTACATCCTGGTCCTCTTGCTGCTGCTGCTGCTGCTGTCGCAGCCGCGGGTTTCCTCCAGCATTCTCCAGAGGCAGCGCCGCGTCGTTGCTGCTGCTTGCATTCACCTTCGCATTTGCTGCTGCTGCTGCTGCGGGGCGCTGCAGCAGCAGCAAGTGCTGGTGGCGGTGCAGCATGAGCAAGACTGCAGCAACAGCAGCAGCACTTGCAGCAGCAGAAGGACACGGATCCTTTGAGGCGATTGTCTCTGCAGTTTGTTTTGCTGCCTCTGCTACTGCTGCTGCCTGCCCGCCGGTAGCAGCAGCAGCAGCAGCAGCAGCAGCAGCCAAAGCCGTCTGCCTCGCAACATCAGCAGCAGCAGCTTTCTCTGCGGGGCATTTGAAGAGCAGCAGCGTGAGCCCTTCTCGCGGCAGCAGCAGCAGCAGGAGGGGCAGTCTTGCTGCTGCAGCGAGAGCCTTCTGCGCGGCTCTGGGGTGCAGCAGCAGCAGGAGGCCGAGCAGCAGCAGCAGCAGCAGCAGCAGCGCAACAGACGCGCTGCTGCTGACGACAGCCATGAGGTAACAAAAGGCAGCAAGAGAAAGCCCCGGGCTGCTGAAGTCAAAGACACAGCCCAGCTGCCTTGCTGCTGCAGCAAACCGCCGCTGCAGCCGCTGCATGCGCTTTAGCTGCTGCCCCAGCAAATGCACTGGAGTCAAAGCCCCAGCTGCTGCTGCTGCTCCTTCTCCAGGGCTAAGAGATAATTCATTAAAAGGTTGTGGGGTGTCGAAAGCATCAGGTCTGTGCTGCAGCAGCTGCAGCCAGCTGGCGCCTTCGACTGCTGCTTCCAGCAGCAGCGTGCTGCTGCAGCTCGCTGCTGCTGCTGCTGCTGCGGGGGTTGCTGCTGCTGCTGCCGCCGCCGCTGCTGTTGCTGCTGCCGTTTCTTCGTGCACGCACACCGCCTCCTCAGCGCACGCCAGGTCGTCCCGCTGCTGCTGCTGCTGCAGCTCGCTCTGCTGCTGCTGCTGCTGCTGCTGCTGCTCCACCGCCAGCTGCTTTGCTGCCGCTGCTGCTGCACCCGGAGAAACGGCGCCGTTCCTCTTCGCTGCCGGCGCAGCAGCACTTGCAGCAGCAGCAGCAGCAGCAGCAGCAGCAGAGGGAATGTTCTTGCACTTCTCTAGCAGCGGATGCTTCGCTGTAGAAAGCGAAAAGCCCCTCAGCTGCAGCAGCCGCGGAGAGCCGCAGCCGAGCTGCTGCTGCTGCAGCCGGAAGCTGCAAATGTAATAGTCCTGCCCAGCTCCAATCCGCAGGCAGGTTTGGCCCATGCTTACCCCACTTGCTGCTGCTGCTGCTGCTGCTGCTGCTGCTGCTGTTGCTGCTGCTGCTGTCGCGGCCGCGTCCAGCGTCGTCTGCGCTGCTGCTGCAGCAGCTTCGTTTGCGGCGAGTAGGTCTCCTGGTGCAGCAGCAGCAGCAGCAGCAGCAGCCGCAGCAGAAAGGACCGGCGCATTTACTGTAGCCATCGCGGGGCTGCCGCTGCTGCTGCTGCTGCTGCTGGGTTCGTATACTCTAGAGCCCTTCTGCTGCTGCTGCTGCTGCTCCAGCGGGGCAGCAACAAAGTGCAGCAGCAAATCTTCCTGCGGCCTGGGGTGCAACACAGGAAGGTTGATGCAGCAGCTCGGCAGCAGCAGCAGCAAACTGCGGCGGAAGGAAACAGCTGGGGCTCCCGTGGCTCTTCCAAACCACTTATAGAAGAGAGAAGGAGAAGAGACGAGCCCGGGCTGCTGCTGCTGCTGCTGCTGCTGCGGCCGCTGCTGGCGGCAGCTCGCTGCTGCTGCTGCTGCTGCTGCTGCAGGGGGGGCCCCGTATACCCCAAAGAAAGACACAGAAGACTGAAACTCTAGGAAGCAGTAAAGCCCGTAGCCTTCAGGCAGCAGCAAATCGTGCAGCGCGAGAAGGCGCAGCGACACAAAAGTTCTCTCGCCCGTCGCTGCTGCTGCTGCTGCTGCTGCTGCTGCTGTTGCTGCTGCTGCTGCTGCTGCTAGAGGTGCAGGGGCACGCCACGCAGGAGCAGGCAGCAAAGCTTGCGGGTCCCCTAGCGCCGGCTGCAGCTGCTGCTGCTGCTGCTGCTGGCTCTCCGCGGCCGCAGCAGGAAGCGCAGCAGCAGCAGCAGCAGCTGCAGCTGCTGCTGCTGCTGCTGCTGCTTCTTGCTGCTCGCGCTGCCGGCGGGCAGCAGCAAGAGAGAGCCAGCCTGCAGCAAACAGCCAAGCGGGAAGACCCTCAAGAAGATTAGAGGGAAAGACAAAGTAGGAGTTGCGGTGTACGTACACCTCAGCGGGGCTGCCCAGGTAGCAGCAGCAGTCCATCAGCTGCATCCAGTCGTAAGCTGTTGCTGCTGCTGCAGCAGCAAACACCACTTCTTCCGTGCATGCAGCCAGGGCTGCTGCAGTCTCCTGCTCTGCTGCTGCTGCTGCTGCTGCCGCGGCCGCCGCCGCAGCGGCGCTCTCCGCTGCTGCGGCGGTCTCAGCTGCTGCTTCTGCTGCTGCAGCAGCAGCTGCTGCTGCTGCTGCCTCTGCTGCTGCTGCTGCTGGCTCCACAGAACCGTCCTGGTCATCGCTCGTGTCTGAGCCTCCTGCTGCTGCTGTTGCTGCTGCTGCCTCGGACAGCGAGACGGAGGGGGAGACGGCCAAGCTGCTGACGCGCTGCTGCTGCTGCCGCTGCTGCTGCTGCTGCTGCTGCTGGTACTTCTGCTTGAGGCTGCGCTGCCCCTTGAGCCCTTTCAAGGTGCTGTGCTGCTGCTGCAGCCTTGTCTGCTGCTGCTGCTGCTGCATGCGCTGCAGCAGCAGCAAATTGGGGGCCACAAGCGACCACCTGAAAGTTGCTGCTGCTTTATCATAAACAAACTTCTCTACGCGGCTGCCGCGCAGCTGCCAGCAGCAGGTAGCAGCAGCAAAGTCGATCCAGGAAGCAAGTGCTGCGTCCGTCACTATGTTGCTGCTGCTGCTGCTGCTGCTGCTGCTGCTGCTGCTGCTGCTGAGGGGGCAGCAGCGCAGAAATGGCAGCCGCTTGAAAGAATATAAAATTGAACCCCGCAGCACAAAGAAGCGCGGGGCAAATCTTTTGGTGTGTCTGGTTTGCCGCTGCAGCCAGCCTGCACGCAGAAACAGCAAGTTGCTGCTGCTGCTGCTGCTGCTGCTGCTGCTGCTGCTGCTGCTGCTGCTTGGGGGGGCTGGCCGAGGGGCTGATGGATCAGCAGAAAGTGTAGGGAGGGAGTAGATGCGGCTGCCGGCGTATGGTGCAGCAGCAATTGCTGCTGCAGGTGCTGCTGCTGCTGCAGCAGGGCGCTCTGCTGCAGGCGCTGCTGCTGTTGCTGCTCCCCATGTTGCTGCTGCTGCTGCTGCCTCTGTTCCTGCTGCTGCTGGGGCTAGTGCTGGCTCAGCAGCAGCAGCAGCGGGAGGCACGGGGCCCACATCGGGGCCCTTCAGTTTTGCTTCTGACTCTATCCCATCTTGGTCTGCTGGCAGCAGCAGGTCTAGCTCTGCTGAAGCAGCTGCAGCAGCAACTGCAGCAGCATCTGCAGCAGCATCTGCAGCAGCATCTGCAGCACCATATGCATCTGCAGCAGCAGCTGCTGCCGCTGCTGCGCCGACCTCGCTATCGCTGCCCGCGCTGCTGCCAGGCCCACGACCCTCGTCCTGCTGCTGCAGCCGCTGCTGCTGCTGCTGCTGCTGCTCTTGTTGCTGCTTTTGGTGCTGGTCGGGGTCTTCCTGCTGCTGCACCATTGCGGAAGTGGTGCCCTGCCGGGGCTGCTGCTGCTGCTGCTGCTGCTGCTATTCTCATACTGCTGCTGCTGCACTTGTTGCTGCTCGATTTGCCTCTCCGCCAGCTGGTTGCGCTGCGAAGGCTCATGTTTCTAGAAGCAGCAGCAGCCACACATCGGAGTCGCTGCCGCGTCCGTTGCTGCTGCTGCTGCTGCCGCTGCTGCTGCTGCTGCTGCAAAATAGAACTGTTTAATAACGAAAGAGATGTGAGAAGCAGACAAAAAAGCGCTGACGCTGTCTTCTTCAGTCCTTGGGAACTGTTGCTGCTGCTGGTGCTGCTGCTGCTGCTGCTGCTGTGGCGGCGGCGGCAGCGGCTGCGGCTGAGGTGTCGGCGGCGGTTTGCTGCAGCAGCAGGACTGCAGCAGCAGCAGCAGCAGCATCTCTTCCCAAAATAACCCTGCGCCTTTTCCAAAAGGGAGCAAAAACTGCTGCACCATTTAAGCCTGCTGCTGAAGTTAAAGTAAGATCTGCTGCTGTTGCTGCTGCTGCTGCTGGGGGGCTACCGTGTGGGGCGCCGAACAAAGACATGGCTTGACCTAGCAGCAGCAGCAACTGCAGCAGCAGCGGACTGAGCAGCAGCAGCTTCAGCAGCAGCTGAGCCAGTAGCAGCAGCAACTGCAGCATCACCTTCTACAGCAGCAACGACAGCAGCAACAACAGCAGCATTGACAGAGCAAGGCCGACAGCTGCGGCTCGGCAGATGCAGCAGCGGCTGTAGCAGCAGCAGCGCAGCAGCAGCAGCAGCGCAGCAGCAGCAACAGCAGCAACAACGAGCTGCAGAGTAATATAATGACTTATGCGAAGACGTACATTGGAGACAGACGGCCCAAAGATACAGCTGCTGGCTGCTGGCTGCTGCAGCAGCAGCAACAGCAGCAGCAGCAGCAGCAGCAGCAGAGGGCAGCACCCGCAAGCATACGCAAATCAAAGGCAGATGAACGCAAATAAACAGCAGAGAGCGCCCCGCTGAATAGGGGCCAACAGCAGCAGCAGCAAGCTCCTGCACAATGCTGCAGCAGCTGCTGCTGCTGTTGCTGCTGCTGCTGCGCGCAGCTCAGTGCCTCGGCGGGCTTGTGCTTCACAAAGCGCCCCAGAACGCCATTTGCTGCAGCTACAGCAGCAACGGAAGCAGCAGCAGCAGCGGCTGCAGCAGCCACAGCAGCAGCAGCCATGGCGGCGCAAGATACGACAGCAGCAGGTGCAGCGGGAGCTGGTGTAGCAGCAGCAGCAAAGAAACGGATAATTTGCTGCGGCTCCCGAGAGCAGCAGCATTTGCACATGCTGCTCCACGCATCAGCAGCAGCAGCAGCAGCAGCAGCAGCAGGCCCCCTCTCTCACCAGCAGCAACCCAACAGCCATACTCCTTCACACCACAGGAGGAGCAGCAGCAGCGGGCGCCTGAGCAGCAGCAGCAGCAAGAGCAGCAGCTACAGCAGCAGCAGCAAGAGCTGCAGCAGCAGCAGCGCGACCGTTTAGCGTCCTGGGGTCGCTCCAGTTTGTACAGCAGCAGCAGCAACAGCGGCGCGCTGCAGTTGCTGCTGGTTCCTCCTGTGCGACTTGCTGCTGCTGCTGCTGCTGCTGATGAGGGCAGCAGCAGCAGCGAGGTGGCCGCGGAGGCTGCAGCAGCAGCAGCAGCGAGGTGTCTGTACACCCGAACCCTCGTGGGCATCTTCGGCCGCCTCGCAGAAAAAGCAGCACATCAAAGTTGGGGTCTTGCTGCTTCTCACCATTTTGGCGTGCAAGCTGCTGCTGCTGCTGCAGCAGGAAGGCCTGCAGCAGCAGCAGCAGCAGCACCGCGAAGAGCAGCAGCAAATGGAGGCGACAAAAAGGTTAGAACGCCCTGGTACGCGCTGCTGCTGCTGAAGGTGGCGCTGCTGCAGCGCCAGAGGAAGCAGCGCAAGCGCATGCAGCAGCAGCAGCAGCAACAGCAGCAGCAGCAACAGCAGCAGCAGCAACAGCAGCGGCTGGAGGACCATCTGGACTTCTCGCAGATACCGCCTTGGCTGCTGCGGGCTGCTGCTGCAGTGCTGAGCAGCAGCAGCAGCTGCTGCTCCTCCCCAGTTGCGCTGCTGCAGCTGCTGCATGCACTGTGCAGCCTGGAGGCGGCCCCGACGGAGCAGCAGCTGCAGCAGCTGCTGCAGCAGCAGCAGCAGCGGGTCTGGCAGCAGCTGGCGGAGGCAGCAAAGGACCGGCGCTCGGCCCGCCGCAACGAGTGGCTGCTGCAGCAGCAGCTGCAGCAAGCTCGAGTGTACAGACAGGAGTGGCTGCTGCTGCTGCCGCTGCTGCCATTTTGCTGCCCCTTTGAAGTAATGGAGTGTCTGCTAACTGCTTCCGAAAGGCATGCATTTGTGTCTGTGTCTGGTGGCACAGCAGCAGCAGCAGCAGCTGCTGCTGCTGCTGCTGCCTTGGCTCACAGCGACGCAGCAGCAGCAGCTGCCGCTGCTGCTGCCAGGGGCAACCCCACAGTCATGCGCCGAGCTGTACAGACACTCGGGAAGTCTGGTGCTGCTGCTGCGCTTGCTGCCGCTGCTGTTGACGGGCTGTTGCTGCTGCGGCGGAGAGAAACAGCAGCAGCAGCAGCAGCAGCAGCAGCAACAGCAACTGCAGCAGAGGAGGCCGATGTTGTGTGCCTGCCAAAGGTCAGTGCTGCTGCGTTGCAGCAGCAGCAGCAGCAGCAGCAGCAGCCGCGACCGCGCATTTCTCTGCCGCTGCTGCACCTGCACCAGCAGCTGCGCGCCAGGCAGCAGCTGCTGCTGCAGCTAGACGGCAGCAGCGGCAGCAGCAGCAGCAGCAGCAGCAGCAGCGCCGGCTACTTTGCGGCAAACCTGCATGAGCCAGCAGCCACAGCTACACCACAACCAGCAGCAGCAGGAGCAGATGCTGCTGCTGCAGCAACAGCAGATGCTGCCGCAGCAGCAGCAGCAGGTGCTGCTGCAGCAGCACCGCGGCCAGAGGACTGGCAAAGCCTTTGGCTGCAGCAGCTCAACGCAACATTTGAGAAAGAGCTCGTTGTGGAGGCAGCACCTGCTGCTGCTGCTGCTGCTGCTGCTGCTTCCGGCGCATTTGCTGCAGATCCAGCGGCAGCAGCAGACATCAGCAGCAGCATGTGCCCCGCAGTTGCTGCAGCTTTCAATGACTTCTTTGACTGGCTGGCGCAGCAGCAGCAGCAGCCCCAGCAGCGGCCGCTGCTGCAGCAGGGGCAGCAGCAGCAGCAGCAGCAGCAGCAGCAAGGCGACAGCAGCTACGTGTGCTACAGCAGCATCAGGGAGAGGCTTCTCCAGGCTGCTGACGGAGAGCCGGACGAAACTCTCTTTCTAGAAGATGCTATACGCTGTCTGCAGCAGCAGCAGCAGCAGCAGCAGCAGCAGCAGCAATAGCAGCATCAGCTCTTCTCGCCGAAGCAGCAATAGCAGCGGCAGCCGCTGCTGCTGCTGCACTGACAGCAGCAGCAGCTGCTGCAGTAGCAGCAGCACTAGCAGCAGAGAATGCAGCGCTCGCAGCAGAAACAGCAGCAACAGCACCAGCTGCCGTTGCTGCAGCTGCTGCTGTTCCCGCTGCGGCTGCTGCTGTTGCTGTGGCGGCAGCAGCAAAACGTGACGCAGCGCTGCAGAGTTGGCTGTGTTGGCTGTTGCCTTCTAGCTTAAAAACAACTGCTGCAGCAGCAGCTGCTGCTGCAGCAGCTGCTGCTGCAGCAGCTGCTGCTGCTGCAGCTGCTGCTGCAGCAGCAGCTGCTGCAGGGATTGTGAATGCATGGGTTGCTGCAGGGACTGCCGCTGCAGCAAATCTTGCTGCAGCAACAGCGGCTGCTGCAGCAGCAGCTGCAGCGCCAACAGCAACAATGCTCTTGTCAAGTTACGTTTGAGGTGTATAGACAGCTTAGCAGCAACTGCTGCACTTTAAGTAAGCCACAGAAGCTGTAGCAGCTCTAACATTGGACGCTCTGTTGCTGCTGCTGCTGCTGCTGCTGTTGCTGACGCACGGCAGCAGCGCGTGCTGCTGCTGCTGCCGATCGAGAACCTGCTGCAGCAGCTGCTGCAGCAGCTGCTGCTGGAGCCGCCCGTCCAGCAGCATCAGGTGCAGCTTGGCCTGCGTCAGCCTTTGCAGCAGCTGCTGCAGCGGCACCTGCAGCAGCAGCAGCAGCTGCTGCTGCTGCTGCGGCAGCAGCTGCTGCTGCTGCCGCAGCGGCGCCTGCAGCACGTCGAGCTGCTGCTGCTGCTGCTGCTGCAGGCCGGCGCAGCAGCGCAGGCCGGAAGGACTAGAAGCAGCAAATAAACACAAGACATAAATGCCAAAAAGTTTCATTTTTTGTCTAAGAGAAATCCGCGTCTGCTGTCCTTTCTAAAACGCGGAAGTAAAGACGCAGCCGCTTTATCAACGCCTTGGCTTCCGTCAGGTCCTGCAGCAGCAGCAGCAGCAGCAGCAGCAGCAGCGAGTGGCAGCAGCAGCAGCGAGTGGCAGCAGCAGCAGCGAGTGGCAGCAGCAGCAGTAGCAGTAACGGTGGTCCCAGCAGCAGCAGGAACAGCAACAGTGGCCGCACCGGCAGCAGTGACAGTGGCAACAGCAGCAACAGCAGCAGCAGCAGCAGCAGCAGCCGCAGCAGCAGCAGCAGCAAAAGAAAAAATTCTTGCCTCGAGCATAATTGCTGCTGATAGCTGCGCCTCCAGCTCGTCCACAGTCTCCTTTACGGCACTGAGAGCCACAAGCACAGCCTCACCTAGCTAGCTAGCTAGCTAGCTAGCTAGGCGGCTAGCTAGCTGACTAGCTAGCTGGCTAGCTAGCTGACTAGCTAGCTGGCTAGCTAGCTGGTCGACAATTCAGCTAGCTCTTTGGCGATCTGCCTGTCTAGCGAGTCATATGTCTAGCTTGCTTCTAGCTAGCTGGCCAGCTAGCTAGCCAGCTAGCTAGCTAGCTAGCTTGCTTTCTAGCTAGCCGGCTTGCTTTCTAGCTAGCTGGCTAGCTAGCTAGCTAGCCAAAGGGCTAGCTAGCTAGCTAGCCAAAAGGCTAGCCGGGACTCCTCTAGCACCGTAAGTCGCTAATGAATTCTTTAACTAGCTAGCGAGTGCGGGATCGCCCGAACCAGCCATCGCCTCTCAGCTAGCTAGCTAGCTAGCTAGCTAGCTAGCTAGCTAGCTAGCTAGCTAGTTAGCTAGCTACAGCTAGCTGCATGCGTGGGAAACGTCGACCCGGTGCTAGGCCGCCACAGACGACTAGCCAGCTGACTAGCTAGCTAGCTAGCTAGCTAGCTAGCTAGTTATTCGGCTAGCTAGCTGGCTAGCTAGCTATTCGGCTAGCTAGCTAGCTAGCTATTCGGCTAGCTGGCTAGCTAGCTATTCGGCTAGCTAGCTAGCTAGCTATTCGGCTAGCTGGCTAGCTAGCTAGCTATTCAGCTACGAAGTAGCTAGCTGTCTTCGCCCACCTGGCTAGCTTGTCCACGTCGTCTCGGGTCTTGCAGGAGTCCAGCCGTTCGTGAATCTGCAGCAGCAGCAGCAGCAGCAGCAGCAACAGCAGCAACAGCAGCAGCCGCAGTTGCAGCAGGCTCACATCAACGGGCCGCTGCAGCAGGCGTTGAAGGCGCAGCAACAGCAGCAGCAGCAGCTTCAGGACCGCAAACGGCAGCAGCAGCAGCAGCAGCAGCAGCAGCAAAAGTCACCTGCATAACTTCTATGAGGATTTCCCTCTCATTGATCCTGTCGTCCTGAACAGAGCAGCAGCAGCAGCAGCAGCAGCAGCAGCAGCAGGCAGGAAATGAGGAGCAGCAGCCATGCTGCTACAGCTGCTGCTGCAGCAGCAGCAGACACCGCTGCAGGGCGCTGAAGGATATAACAACAGCACAAGCAGCAACAGCAGCAGCAACAGCAGCAGCAACAGCAGCAGCAACAGCAGCAGCAGCAGCAGCAGCAACTGACGAGAGCAGCAGGAGAACCTCGGCCCTGCAGCAGCAGCAAATGCTCGGCCCTCGTGGCAGGGTTTTGGAGTGTCTTGACAGCAGCAGCAATGTGGCGCTGGTGCACTTCACACAGAGCCTGCTCCTCCTGCAGACACCCACACAAACTGCTGCTGCTGCTGCTGCTGCAGCTGCTGCTGCTGCTGCTGCTGCAGCTGCTGCTGCAGCAGCAGCTGCTGCTGCTGCTGCTGCGGGGTAGTTGTGGGAGAAAGAGCTAACGGGCGTGGGAATCGGGGGCGCTGCTGCTGCTGCAGCTGGCCAGCACTGCTGCTGCTGTTTCTGCTGCTTCTCCCGCTGCTGCTGCTGCTGCTGCCGCTGCTGCTGCTGCTGCTGCTGCTGCTGCGAGGTGTACGTACATCTGACTTGGCAGCAGCCTTGTCCGGGTGTATCTGCTGCTGCAGCTGTTTGTAGCGAGCGGAAAGAACTGGCAGGTTGACATCAAAGGAAGCAGGACTGCAGCAGCAGCAAAAGAAAAAAGAAAATAAAATTAAAAATAAAAAATAAAATAAAAAATAAAAAATAAAAATAAAAAGAAAAGAAAAAGATGTTTTCGAGATTGATGGAGACTCTGGAGATTAAAGAGATTGAAAGAATTCAAAAAGGAACTCAAAAATCCCAAAATCTCACGAAGACGAAACAGCCACCACCCAAACCCTAAACCCTAAACCCTAAACCCTAAACCCTAAACCCTAGGCACTGCGTCTGAAGCTTTAAACTCTGTGAGAGTGACAAGAGGGGAAAAAGGAGACGGCCATAATCGGCAGCAGCACGGAGCGTAGGGTTTAGGGTTTAGGGTTTAAAGCTTAGGGTTTCGGGTTTAGGGTTTGCAATTTAGGGTTTAGGGTTTAGGGTTTAGGGTTTAGGGTTTACAGGTCAAATATGGCAAAGGCAGATACAGGACCCGTCGACGGGTAGACAGGCGGCAGCACGGCACCGCAGTTCTGAGCAGCAGCAGCAGCAGCAGCAGCAGCAGCAGCAGCTTCAGTTGCAGCAGCAGCAGCTTCAGTGGCAGCAGCAGCTTCAGTGGCAACAGCAGCAGCAGCAGCACGGTGGCAGCATTCACGGGAGCAGTAGAAGCGAGCACAGCAGCAACAGCAGCAGCAGCAGCGGCAGCAGCAGCAGCAGCAGCAGCAGCAGCAGCAGCAGCAGCAGCAGCAAGAACTGCGGGCGTTGCGGACTACAAAAAGAACAAGAGAAAGAAAAAAAGCACAGAAAGGCCCAAATAAATAAATAAATAAATAAATAAATAAATAAATAAATAAATAAATAAATAAATAAATAAAAATAAAAATAAATAAATAAATAAATAAATAATTCTGCTTCCGGGGGCCTTGCCTTGCAGATTATTTTAATTCCCTCAAACGCCTGCTGGCACTTCAGACAAGTACCACCCAGCCCTCTGCTGCTGCTGCTGCTGCTGCTGCTGCTGCTTACGTTGCTGCTGCTGCTGCTGCTGCTGCCTACGTTGCTGCTGCTGCTGCTGTCGCCGTTGCTGCTGCTGTCGCCGTTGCTGCTGCTGCTGCTGCTGCCTTCATCTGGCTCTGTGTCCAACTCACTCGGGCCGTTCCGGTAAGTGCTCAGTAGCCTAAGGCTGCTGCTGCTCCAGAACCTGCTGCTGCTGCTGCTGCTGCTGCTGCAGTTGCTGCTGCAGTTCACCGCTGCTTGCGTGCGGCCGACACCTACCAGCCAGCGCCTGGCCGCGGTTTGCTGCAGCAGCTGCTGCTGCCTATGAAGCTGCTGCTGTTGCTGCTGTTGCTGCTGGTGCTGATGCTCATGCGGCTCCTGCTGCTGCTGCTGCTCGTGCTGCTGCTGCTGCTGCTGCTGCTGCTGCCTGCACAGCACCCGCGCCTGCTGCTGCTCCTGCTGCTGCAGCCCGCAGCCACGCTGCTGCAGGCGCAGCGCTGCTGGCCCCTGGGGGCCCCACAGCGGTGTCCACAGCGAGCGCCCCCGCATTGTTTAGCTGAGGGTTTAGGGTTTAGGGTTTAGGGTTTAGGGTTTAGGGTTTGGGGTTTGGAGCTGGGGACGGCACAGCGTGTGTGTGTGTCAGTGCAGCGAGCTGCTGCTGCTGGCAGCAGCAGTGAAGCCCTAGGCCTTGCTGGAGCCTGTGCTGTTTCAGCTGCCGCTCGCGTTGCTGCTGCTGCTGCTGCTGCTACTGCTGCTGCTGCTGCTGCTGCGCTCTCGCCGCCGACACCGGGGGGCCCCGTGCTGCTGCGCTGTTTCGGGTGCTGCTGCAGCAGCACAGCAACTTCTTTCCTTTAAGTTGTAGTAAAATGCAATAATAGAAAAGGGCCAATGTAGAAGGAAGAATAAAATGCCACAAAGTGCTGCTTCTGCTGCGGCTGCCGCTGCTGCAGCAGCAGCAGCAGCAGCAGCAGCAGCAGCCAGCAGTGGGGGGTCCGCTGCCGCCGAGTTCACGTCAAGCATCGACTCTGCTGCTGCTGCTGCTGCTGCTGCTGCTGCTTTTCGCAGAGCTACTTCACTAAGCAGCACAAATTAATTGAAAATTAAAAGGGTTTAGGGTTTACGGAGGCTCAGAGGTATGCTGAAGCCTGTGCGATCCTGACGGCTGAGGACTAACCCGCTAGGGTTTAGGGTTTAGGGTTTAGGGTTTAGGGCTTGAGCGCCTCGTGCGTAGCTCCCTGGCTTCTCGCTCGCGACTTCTTCAGAATTTGAAAAAGCCCATCTAGAGACAAACCCTAAACCATTTCCTAAACCCTAAACCCTAATTCAGAGGTTGGCGGTGTCCAGCCCGAGACCTGCTGGCTGGCGAGTCGCCCTTACTTCTTCTTTTGCTGCTGCTGCTGCTGCTGCTGCTGCTGCAAGGACAAAGTTCCTGAAGTAACAGTCATTAATGCAGCAGATCCGCCAGCCGCAGCTACGCCAGCAGCAGCAGCAGCGACGGCAGCAACAGCAGCGGCAGCAGCAGCAGCAGCAGCAGCAGCAACAGCAACGACAACAGCAGCAGCAGCAGCAACAGCAGCAAGAGAAGGAGCAGAAAGAAAATCTGCAGCTCCAGCAGCAACAGAAGCGCCTGAGGGAAGTTTTGGAGACCAATGTGTCAGTGAAACCGCTGCAGCAACAGCGAGAGCAGCAGCTGCAGCAAGGGCAGCAGCAGCAGCAAGAGCAGCAGCAGCTTCACTGTTCTCGCTGCAGCAACAGCAGCAGCGACAGCAGCAGCGCTGGCAGCAACTGCAGCAGCAGATCTGCGAGTAGCTGGACTACAAGAAAGACACTTGAAGGTAGCAGCAACAGCAGCAACACCAGCAACAGCAGCGTCAGCAGCAGCAGCAGCAACAGCAGCAACAGCAGCAACAGCAGCAACAGCAGCGTCAGCAGCAACAGCAACAAAAGCAGCGGCAGCAGCAGCAGCAACAGCGGCAGCATAACTGCATCGAGTCCCTGAGCTGCAGCAAAAGCAACGGCAGCAACGCCGCAAGTGCGAGCGTTTACTGCAACAGCAAGAACAGCAGCAGCAGCAGCAGCAGCAGGACCAGCAGCAGCAGCAGCAGGACCAGCAGCAGCAGATCTCTCCTGCTGCGGCGTCTGCCCGTCAGCTGTTTCTCACCAGGGTGCGAGGTTCTTGTGATAATTCCTGCTGCAGCAGCAGCAGGTGCAGCAGCAGCAGCGGGCGCTGCAGCTGCAGCAGCAGCAGCAGCCGCTGCTGCTGCACATGCTGCTGCTGCTGCTGCTGCTGCTGCTGCTGCTGCTAGAGCCCCCCGCCAAGATGGCAGCAGCACCAAACCCCCGCAGCATCTTCGCCTTCACTGCAGCAAACCCTTACGACAAAAACCATTTGCTGCGCCTCGGAGGAGCTCTTGCTGCTTTCTTCCTCGCAGCCCTCAACAGCGCAGTCCTGGTCTTCTACTACGTAAGCAGCTAGCTAGCTAGCTAGCTAGCTAGCTAGCTGGCTAGCTGGCTAGCTGGCTAGCTGGTTGTCCAGCTAGCTGGCTAGCTAGCTAGCTGGCCGGCTGGATAGCTACGTGACTAGCTAGCTAGCTGGCTGCTTGGCTGACTAGGTACCTGGCTTGCTGGATAGCTAGCTAGCTAGCTAGCTAGCTAGCTGGCTGGCTAGCTAGCTGGCTAGCTAGCTGGCTAGTTAGCTGGCTGGCTAGCTAGCTATCTGGCTAGCTAGATAGGCAAATAGCCAGATAGATGGCCAGCTAGATGGCTAGATAACTAGCTGGTTAGCTAGATAGCTAGCTAGTTAGCTGGCTACTCCTCTCTTTTCTGCTGCTGCTGCTGCTACTGTCCCGCTGCTGCTGCTGTTGCTGCGCCTTCTGCTGCTGCTGCTGCATCTTCAGGCGTTGCCTTTTCTGCTGCTGCTGCTGCTGCTTTTGTGCGTCCCGCCATCGCTGTTTTTGGCGCTGCTCCTGCGCATGCGGCTTTATCTGCTGCTGCTGCATCTTCATGTGCTGCTGCTGCTGCTGCTGCTGCTGCTGCTGCTGCTGCTGCAGTCTGCTGACAGCAACGTGAAAGTCAACTCCCGCTGGGGCTTATTTTTGGTGGTCATTGTTGATGGCTGGCTGCTGACTTGGTTTCAGCTGAAGACCCATTTGTGCAGCTACGCAGAAAATGTAAGCTGCTGCTGCTGCTGCTGCTGCTGCTGCTGCTGCTGCTGCTGTTGCTGCAGTGCCAATAGCCGCAGCAGCAGCAGCTGCTGCTGCTGCTGCTGTAGGTGCTGGTGATGCAGCTGCTCTTAGTACCGGTGCTGCTGCTGTTGCTGCGCATATAACACTATGTGCTGCTGCTCATCTAGCACTATTTGCTGCTGCTTGTAGAACACCATTTGCTGCTGCTCACCAAACGCTATTTGCTGCTGCTCATCCAACTCCATTTGCTGCTGCTCACAAATGCCATTTGCTGCTGCTCCTGAACTACCGTTTGCTGCTGCCCAGCTAGTGCAATTCACCGCAGCTCATCGAGCACCCTTCTAGCCCAAGTTGCTGCTGCTCCCCCCGCGCCACCTGCTGCTGCTGCTGCTGCTGCTGCTGCTGCTGCTGCCATTTGCTGCAGCCCAAGGCTTTGGCCCAGTACGAATGGAGGGACCTTTTCGAGTCTGCCTACGGAGCTGTCGACAGATCCAAACTCTGTGACGAGGCCGAGCACATGCTCATCATCGCCATGGCTGTAAGCTGCTGCTGCTGCTGCTGCTGTTGCTGCTGCTGCTGCTGCTGTTGCTGCTGTTACTGCTGCTGCTGTTACTGCTGTTACTGCTGCTGTCGATGATGATGATGGTGGGGGTGATGGTTTTGCTGCTGGGGGTTGCCTTATGTAATGCTCCTGCTGCTGCTGAGGTCTGGTTTGCTGCTGCTGCTGCTTCTGCTGCTGCTGTTACTGTTGCTGTTGCTGTGCTCTGCTGCTGCTGTTGCTGCTGCCGTTACTGTTTCCGATGCTATGCTCTGCTGCTGCTGTTTCTCCTTCGGTTGCTGCTGCTTCTGCCGTGCTCCGCTGCTGCTGTTGCTGCGGCTGTGCTCTGCTGCTGCTCTAACTGCTGTCGCTGCTGCTGCTGCTGCTGCTGCTGCTGCTGCTGCTGCTGCTGCTGCAGTGCTGCTTCGTGGCTGTGGCTTCTGCCCTCGCCAGCGTCGCCTTTGTGGTGCTGACGAGACTCAGAGGCAACCCGGAGCTTCGCGCGCAGCAGCACTACGACCACTGCAAAACCGGCATGGTAGGGTTTAGGGTTTAGGGTTTAGGGTTTAGGGTTTAGGGTTTAGGGTCTAGGGTCTAGGGTTTGGGGTTTAGGGTTTGGAGTCTAGGGTTTAAGGTGTTGGGGGCGGGGTTTGAGGTTTGGGGCTTGAGTTTTTAGGTTTTGGGGTTTGGGGTTTGGGGTTCAGGGTTGGGGGTTTAGAGTTTGTGTTTGAGGGTTTAGGGTTTGGGGTTTAAGGACTGGTGGGGTGGGGTTTAGGGCTAAGGGCTTTAGGGTTTGGGGTTTAGGGTTTGGGGTTTTGGGGAGTGGGGGATTTAGAGCTTTTTTACTTTGGAAGCTTGTGCATTGACTGTGTTTTTGGTGCTGCTGCTACTGCTGCTGCTGCTGCTGCTGCTGCTGCTGCTGCTGCTGCTGCTGTTTGCTGTTTGCTGCAGATGGTTATGGCCTTTTGCATGTTCGGGACAATCCTGCCTCCAATCATCTACGCTTTTACGTTGCCTGACTTCGTGTGAGACCTTTGCTGCTGCTGCTGCTGCTGCCGTTGCTGCTGCTGCTGCTGCTGCTGGCGTTGCTGGAAACGCTGTGCCGGCTGTTGCCTGTGATGATCTGCTGCTGCTTCTGCTGCTGCTGCTGCTGCTGCTGCTGCTGCTGCTGTTTCTGCATTCTGGCTTTGCTGTGCCGCCGCGCTCAGTGCCGTATGTGCTGCGACTGAGATGTGGCGGCGTTTCAACGGCTGCTGCTGCTGCTGCTGCTGCTGCTACTGCTGCTGCTGCTGCTGCTGCTGCAGCATCGTGGAAGCAACTCCTGTCAAAATGAGGGAAGGCGTTTTCGTAGGGGTGATATCTGGCTTAGCGCTCATTTCTGCAATTATGGGCTACCACATGTGAGCTGCTGCTGCTGCTGCTGCTGCTGCTGCTGCCTCTGACTATCTTTACCTAGTTGTGCCCCCTGGCTAGCTTGCTGTATCCTGGCTAGCTAGCTGTCGCCGTGTCTCCTCGCTAGCTAGCTGCTGCGGGTATTCAGCTAGCTGCTGCAGCTAGCTAGCTAGCTGCTGCAGCGGCGCAGCTAGCTGCTGCAGCGGCGCAGCGAGCTGCTGCAGCAGCGCAGCTCGCCGCTGCTGCTGGCTGCTGCAGCTAGCTGCTGCAGCTAGCTGCTGCAGCTAGCCAGCCAGCTGCTGCTCAGTGTGCTGCTGCGCTGCAGCGACCGGTCCGTGCTGCAGAGCAAAATGGAATTCGAAAAACTCGTTTGGGCTTCGCTGCAGGACGACCGGCTGCTGCTGCGGCAGCAAATGGCAGCAGACGCAGACGCCCTCGAAGCAGCCAAGTTCGGGGGCCTCCAGACTCCCGCGCAGCTAGCCAGGCAGGGTGGGACGCCCAGCTAGCTAGCCAGCAGCTAGCTAGCTAGCCAGCAGCTAGCTAGCTAGCCAACAGCTAGCTAGCTAGCCAGCAGCTAGCTAGCCAGCCAGCAGCTAGCTGGCTAGCCAGCAGCTAGCTAGCCAGCCAGCAGCTAGCTAGCTAGGCAACAGCTAGCTAGCCAGCAGTGGGCTAGCCAACAGCGAGGTCGCTAGCAGCTAGCTAGCCAGCAGCGAGATAGCCAGAAGCTAGTTAGCCAACAGCTAGCTGGACTGCAGCTAGCTAGCCAACAGCTAGCTAGCCAGCAGCGAACTAGCCAGCACCTACCTAGGCAGAAGCGAGTTGGCCCGCAGCTGCCTTGCAAGCAGCTAGCTAGCGGCTAGCCAGCAGCTAGCCAGCAGCTAGCCAGCGCAACTGTGCATGACTAGCTACTGGCTAGCCAGTCAGGCAGCAGGGCACTATCCCAAGTAGCGAAGCAAACACTCAGCGGGCTAGCTGGATAGCTAGCTAGCTAGCTAGCTAGCTAACTAGCTAGTCTGCCAGCTTGCTGGCTAGCTAGCTAGCCATCTGGCTGCTAGCTAGCTAGAGGAATTCGCTGACAGACAGCTAGCTTTCCAGAGTGCTGGGGAAGTAAAGCAGCTGAGATTACTGTTGCTGCTGCTGCTGCTGCTGCTGCTGCTGCTGCTGCTGCTGCAGTTAATCCAGAGAATCGAAAGGGCGTCGACAAGTTCTTGTTTGAGAGGGCGGGGCCGTGGAGATGGTGAGAAAAAGATTTACTTTTTTAATTTATTTTTTTTATTTATTTCTTTTTTATTTTGTTTATTTCTTTCTTTATTTCTTTTTCTTTTTTTATTTGCTTCCTTCCTTTGTCCATCTTTTTAATGTATATTAAATGTCTAATATATATTAAACATTTAATATATTTATATTATATTACTCTTTAAAGAATTATTCAAGAATTGTATTAAATGAATCCCGTAAATAGCATGCATGCATGCATGCATGCATACATGCATGCATGCATGCATGCATGCATGCATCTTTTGTTGCTGCTTTTGTTCGCAAATAAAAATTAAATTATTATCAATTTTAATTTATTTATGCATGCAAATAAAAGGGATATAAAGAGTTGCTTTTGCTTCCTGGGGTTAGCAGCAGCAGCAAAGTGCGCATGCACCGCGTTTGTGTCTTTGCTGCTGCTGCGCTGCTGCAGACAGCTGCAAGATTGTGCCTAGGGCCCAGCAGCAGCAACAGCAAGCGGGACGCTGCTTACATAGCAGCAGCAGCAGCAGCAGCAGCAGCAAAAGCAGCGGGCCGCCATCGGCTGCTGCAGCAGCAGCTGCTGCTGGAGCTGCAGCAGCAGCTGCAGCTGCTGCTAGCAGCAGAAGCGTGGCCAGCAACAGGGTGGATGCGTTTTTCCACTGCTGTTGCAGCAGCAGGCCGCCGTTTGCTGCTAGCAGCAGCAAAATCGCAGCAGCAGCAGCAGCAGCAGCAGCTTGTGCTGCCGCGCGTTTGTGCCTTTTGTGTAGACTGAGGCGTGAAGCCACTTTCGTTAATAGGCAGAAGTTTGAAGTCCTTTGCTACTCAATTCAGATTTAATTAAATGTTTAAATTTATATATTTCTCGAGCTCCTGCATGCATGCAGTCTCAGGTGTACGTACACCTGAAGCAGATTCAGGTGTACGTACACCTCAACACTGCTGCCGTTCTCGGGAACTGCTGCGTCTCAACGCTGAAACAATAAATAATAAAACTATTTAAATTAAACTAATTAAATAAAACTAATTAAATAAAACTAAATTGAATTAAATGATTGCGCATCACTACTCAACCCGGAGACCCCCGGAAACGAGAACTTTCGGGTGTACGTACACCCCAAAAACACCCACAAACGCCGCCACTCTTTTGACCATTTGGCGGCTTCAACAGCAGCACAGGGGCCCCTCAAGGGGGCCCTCAGGGGGCGCTGTAGGGGCCCCTTAGGGGCCCCTTATGGGCCCCTTAGGGGCCCCTTGGGAGGCCCTTAGGGGCCCTTTAGCGGCCCCTTAGGGGGCCCCTTGGGGGGCCTCTTAGGGGCCTCTTAGGGGCCCCTTAGGGGGCCCCTTGGGGGGCCCCTCTGGGCTACGGGGCCCCCTAGGGAGGCTCTTAAGGGGGCCCTCAGGGGGGCCTCTCTGGGCTACGGGGGCCTCTAGGGAGGCTCTTAAGGGGGCCCTTAGGGGGGCCCCTAAGGGGGCCCCCGGGGGCTGCAAAGGGGGCCCCTGGACTGTGGGGGCCCCCGGGGGCCCCCTGTGGCGCGGCCCTGCGCATGCAGTGCTGCTTCGGGGCTTGTGGGGGCCCCCTGGGGGCTGTGGGGCCCCACAGCCGGGCGAGAAGCTCCTTTGGCTCAAAAGGACTTCAACTTCTTTTCTTTTGAGGACTTTAGAGAAAAAATGAAATAAAAGAAAAGAATTAATAAAGAAAAATGAAATAAAAGAAAAGAATTAATAAAGAAAAAGATGAAATAAAAGAAAAGAATTAACTAAAGGGGCCCCTCTCACATCCAAAGGACCTCTTGCAGTGCTAAATAAAGCCCCAACAGCTGCGCTGCATGCAAAAAGTGCCTCCAGGGGTACAGCGGGTGCGGGGGGCCCCCGGGGGCCCCCTTGGGGGCCCCCTCGGGGGGCCCCTCGGGGGCCCCCCCGGGGGGCCCCTCGGGGGGCCCCCCGGGGGGCCCCTCGGGGGGCCCCCCGGGGGGCCCCCGGGGGGTCCTTAGGAGGGCCCCTGGGGGGACTCCACCCCAATTGCAAACTGCGTGGAGACCCAAAGTTAGAAATAGATTTGGGGCGCATACCACAAGCTGCTGCTGCTGCTGCTGCTGCTGCTGCTGCTGCTGCTGCAGCAGCAGCGGCAGCAGGGAACGGCTCCTCAGGTGTATGTACACCGCAACGAGGCCAAAGGCGAAGGTGTACAGCAGCTGCAGGAGGTGCCGCTGCAGCAGCAGCAGCAGCTGCTGCTGCAGCAGCTGCTGCTGCTGCTGCTTCGGCGCGCGGCCGCTGGCTGCTGCTGCCTGTACGGGCCACTCCTGTGCTGCCAGCAGCAGCAGCAGCGACTCTGCTGCTGCTGCCTCGCGCGCGCCTCTGCTGCTGCTGCCCTCCCCACAACACTTTCTTTGCTGCTGCTGCTGCTGCTGCTGCTTAGATCGTTGTTGCTGCTGCTGCGGCAGCGGTTTCGCCGATGAGACCGAGGAAGTAGCAGCAGCAGCAGCAGCAGCAGCACGTTTAGCTGCTGCTGGCGTTGCTGCTGCTGTTGCTAGCATTGCTGCTGCTGCTTTAAGTATGCCTGGGTGGCTGTGCGGAAGAGAAAATAAAACAGCAGCAGCAAGAACTGCAGAGCTGCTGCTGCAGTCAGCAGCAGCAAGCAGCAGCAGCAGCAGCCCCCTAAATATGAACTCCTCCAGCAAAGGAGCCAGCAAGAGACACTTCAGCATTTCTCCCGCCTTAATTCTTCTTTTTGCTGCTGCTGCTGCTGCTGGTGCTGCTGCTGCTGCTGCTGCTGCTGCTGCTGGTGCTGGGCCATTATCTGCAGCAGCTGCTGCTGCTGCTTCTGCCGTTGCTGCTACTAAAGCCGGGGCAGCAGCAGCTGCCCCGAAAAGGGCGCAGCAGCAACGCCAAGCTGCAGCAGCAGCAGCTGCTGCCGCTGCTGCTGCTGCTGCTGCTGCTTCTGCTGCTGCTGCTGCTGCTGCCTTCAGAGTCTCCGCGCAGCAAAATGAGCCGAAAGTGGCACAAAAGGAGACACCGTAGAGCAGCAGCAGGAACCTGACGCACTGCACTGCAGCAGCAGCAGCAGCAGCAGCAGCAGCCTGCAGCGACACGGGAAGGCCCAGCAGCAGCAGGAGACCCCGAAACTTTGCTGCTGCTGCTGCTGCGTCCACGGACTCTGGTGCCGCTCCTGCTGCCTTCACGAAAACCCCTTCTGCTGCTGCTGTTGTTGCTGCTGCTGTTGTTGCTGCTGCTGCTGCTGCTGCTGGGTAGCAGCTCAGGGGAGGCAGCCACAAATACACCAAACCAACAGCAGCAGCACAGAAGCAGCAAAGAGAAGAAAACCGCAGCAGCAAAACATGAGGCTCGTGGGAGTCCTCCTCTACTAGACGCCCCAGCAGCTGCAGCAGCAGCAGCCGGAAGCTGCTGCTGCTGCTGCTGCTGCTGCTGCTATCTCTGGGAGGTTTCTCTTTAGTGTGTTTACTGCCGGAGGGGCGGCGGTGACAGCGGCAGCAGCAGCAGCTGCTGCTGCTGCTGCTGCTGCTGTTTGTGCCGCTGCAGCTGCAGCAGCTTTTGCCGCTGCTGTCATTGCTGCTGCTGTCGTTGCTGCTGCTGCTGCTGCTGCTGCTGCGGGTGTGAGGCCGCAGCAGCTGCCAGAGGATCCAGCAGCACTGGAGTGCATAGGCAGCAGGGGCGTAGAGAGCAGCAAGAAGCGCAGCAGCAGCAGCAGCAGCAAACGGGGGCAGTGAGAAGCTGCACACATATTGTTGCTGCTCCTGCTGCTGCAGCAGAGGCTGCTGCTGCTGCTGCTCGCAGAGTTCTGCACAGCGGGCTCCGCTGCTGCTGCTGCTGCTGCTGCCGTCAGTGACGTACAGCAGCAGCACACAAGCAGCAGCAGCAAGCCCGAAGAAAAATTTGCTGCAGACAGCGCGGGGCCCCACAGAAGCAGCAGCAGGGGACGCCGCAGCAGCAGCAGCAGCAGCAGCAGCGCAGCAGGGGGGCCCCCCAGCAGCAGGGCACTGGGGGCCCCCCTCAGCTGCTGCTTTGCTGCTAGCCATTCGCGAGGCTCTGATGGCAGCACTAAACCCTAAACCCTAAACCCTAGCTGGAACCCTAAACCCTAACGGCTAAACCCTCAGACAGCCTTGCTCGCCGACATGCAGCCCCGCTGCGCCGCATGCACTTCCAAACCCTAAACCCTAAACCCTAAACCCTAAACCCTAAACCCTAGTCCATGAACTCTGGTTTGTTCGAACGTTAATGCCTGAAACAAAGTTTGAAGGCATACACTGCAGCAAGCAACTGCCTTCGCTCCGCTGCACCCGCCAAACCCTAAACCCTAAACCCTAAACCCTAAACCCTAAACCCTAAACCCCAATTCCACATGAGCACCTGCGGCTTCGGGGCCCTTTGAGGCCTTCGTGGGCAGCCGCTAGCCAACCGCCTGCGGCCTAGCCCAGAGCGGACCCTAAACCCTAAACCCTAAACCCTAAACCCTAAACCCTAAAATGGCGTATGCAGCCCCTCATCTCCGCTGGTGCGCTGGTCCCGTACTTGAGGCTGTGGCGGTTTACGGCTTGGCTCTTTGTCTTCGTAAGCACCTTAAACCCTAAACCCTAAACCCTAAACCCTAAACCCTAAACCCTGCTTTATGGCTGCTGCTGGGGTTTGCGCTGCTGCTGGGGTTTAGAACTGCTGCTAGGGTTTAGAGCTGCTGCTAGGGTTTAGAGCTGCTGCTAGGGTTTGGAGCTGCTGCTAGGGTTTGGAGCTGCTGCTAGGGTTTGGAGCTGCTGCTGGGGTTTGGGGGTTTCGGGTTTTGAGGGTTTAGGGTTTGCTGAGGTGTACGTACACCTCAGGCTGTCCTTCGCGGGCTGCTTTTCTTTCTCTTTGCTTCTTTTGTCTTTGTTTGCTTTTGAGGAATTCCACTTTGAGAAGTAAGTCTTTTTGCTGCTGCTGCTGCTGCTGCTGCTGCTGCTGCTGCTGCAGCACTTCAGACAGCTGCTGCTGCTGCTGCTGCCTTGCGCACTGGCTGCTGCGGCTCCCTGTCTTGTGTCTTGCTTGCTGTTCGTGGCAGTGCCTGCCAGCTGCTGCTGCTGCTGCTGCTGCTGCTGCTGCTGCTGCTGGTGCTGCTGCTGCTGCGGCGTGCTGTCAATTGCATCTCTTTGCTGCTGCTGCCTGTGCTGCAGCAGCTGCTGCCGTCTATCTGGAGCCGCTGCAGAGGCAGCAGCAGCTGCAGCAGCAGCAAAACCAGCAGCAGCCGGCCCTGAGCCACATTTATTCTGCTGCTGCACTCAACAGCAGCAGCTCGGGTGTCTGTGCAGCTTTTGTGCTGCCGCGGGTTCGGCTGCCCCTGGACCCGCTGCTGCAGCTGCTGCTCAGTGCTTGGTTTGCTGCAGCAGCAGCAGCAGCAGCAGCAGCAGCTGTAGCAGCAGAATGCAGGGCCTCTCTACCTCTCTCAGCCTTGCTGCTGGCCACTTGCCACGCGTACGCCGAGCCCCTCAAGCATTGCTGCTGCTGCTGCTGCTGCTGCTGCTGCTGGGGTTTTGGGTGTGGGGGGAGGGAACAGCAGCAGCAACAGCAGCAACAGCAGCAGCAGCAGCAGCAGCAAGCCCGCCTCTGTGCTGCGTCTGCTGCTTGCGCAGCTTCTGCTGCACTTACCGGTTTGCTTCGAAGCAGCAGCACGTGCTGCTGCTGTGCCGCCCTTCTCCGCCAGCCGTTCTATCACTTCACATTGCATCCGTAAGCTGCTGCTGCTGCTGCTGCTGCTGCTGCTGCTGTTGCTGCTGCTGCTGCTGCTGCTGCTGCTGTTGCTGCTGCAGCGGCTTTTTCAAAGTAAAGGAAGTCCAGTGGGGGCTGCGGGCCTTCTTATTTGCTTCGATTCTCTGCTGCGCTGCGATGGGCTCGTGACTGCTGCTGCTGCTGCGCTGCTGCTGCTGCTGCTGCGCTGCTGCTGCTGCTGCTGCGCTGCAGGGCCTTGTGCAGCTAATTGTCTCCCTGACGGTTACTGCTGCTGCGTGGCTGCTGCTGCTGCTGTCAGCAGCAGTAGCAGTGCTGTCGCAGCATCTGCTGCTGCTGCTGGAGTCGCTGCTGCATGAGCAGCAAGAGAAGGTCGTTGTTGCTGCGCCAGCTGCTGCTGTGCTGCACGTGCTGCAGCAGCGGCTGCAGCAGCTGCTGCTGTTGCCCCGCTCTGCTGCTGCAGCACCCATAGAAGGCCTAACCCCACACAGGGCGTGAGCTGACTCTCTAGGGTTTCGACTTGCTGCTGGCATTCATGGGGTTTCCGGGTTTAGGGTTTAGGGTTTAGGGTTTAGGGTTTAGGGCTTAGGGTTCGGGCCTTCTGCGTGTCTGCTGCTGCTGCTGCTGCTGCTGCAGTGCCTTCTGGCTCTCGTTCCTCGCGCTGCTGTGGCTCACATCTGTGCTGCAGCAGCGGCAAGCAGCAGAAGCCCACAGCAGGCCCTGTAGAGACGTGCGTCTGCTGCTGCTGCTGCTGCTGCTGCTATGGCTGCTGCTGCTGCTGCGGCTATTTGTGCTGCTGCTGCTGCTGTAGTTGCTGCTGCTTCCGCTGCTGTGCACTCAGTCGCTGCTGCAGGCGGAGCTGCCGCTGCTATTTGGTTTGCTGCGTTGGCTGTTTGTGTTGCTGCTGCTGTGTTGCTGCTGCTGCAGGCAGCAGCAGCAGCAGCAGTGCTGCTGCAGCTCGACCCGAAAGCCTGGCAGCAAGTACCCTCCGACGTGATAGTGAGTTTTGCTGCTGCTCTTTTTTCTTTTAAATTCTTTTAATTCTTTTATCTCTTTAATTACCATTCGTGTCTTCTGCTGCTAATGGCTCCTTCCCGCTGCTGCTGCTGCTTATATCTCCAGCAGCAGCAGCAGCAGCAGCAGCAGCAGCAGCAGCAGCAGCAAGCGCATTTCCTGTGTCTGCTGCTGCTGCTGCAGAGTCTCGCGCTGCTGGGCCTCCGCCAGTCTGTGTCTTCGCTGCGGCTGGCAGTTGACCGCACCAGCAGCCGCTACGTGCAGCAGCAGCAGCTGTCGCTGCCCCCGAAGAGCAGCAGCAGCAGCAGCAGCAGCAGCAGCAGCAGCAAAGGGAGCCGTTCGGTGAGCAGCGCAGCAGACGCAGCTCCCACAGCCAGAGGCGCATCTCCCGGCGCCCAGCGATTTTGCTAGCTAGCCACTTCATGAGTAGCTAGCTAGCTGACTGGCTAGCCAGCCTCTAAACTTGCTGGCTAGCTGGCCAGCTAGCTAGCTAGCTAGCCAGCTGGCTAGGTGGCTGGCTAGCTAGCTAGCTAGCTAGCCATCTCATACGCGAGCTTCCTGGCTGGCTAATCATCTGGCTAGCTAGATAGCGGCCTAGCTAGCTAGCTAGCTGCCTATTTGGCTAGCTAGCTAGCTGCCCAGCTAGCCAGCTAGCTAGCTAGCTAGCCAGCTGCGGTGGCTGCTGTTTGCTTCTGCTGCAGTCGGGGGCCCTAGTTTTCCCAGAGACCCTCGCGGACTTGAGGGGCCTAGACCTTTCGCATTTGCTGCTGCAGCAGCAGCAAGACGAGCTGCCGGTAGGCTGAAGCAGCTGCTGCTGTTGCTGCTGCTGCTCTTGCTGCTGCTGTTGCCGCTGCTGCTATTTACCCTGCTGTTGCTGCTGCCGCAGCTGTTTTCTCTGCACTGTGCTTGGGGTCCCAGTTCTCTGCGGCTTACTGCTGCATGCTGTTGCTGCTGCTGCTGCTGTTGCTGCTGCTGCTGCTGTTGCTGCTGCTGCTGCTGCTGTGATGCAGATATTTGAGGCTCTAGCTTCGCTCGTGCTGCAGCAGCTGCGGCTGCAGAACGCTCTGCTGCGGCTGCTGCCAGTTGTGTCCTCTCCTGCTGCTCGCCAGGCCCAAATCATGGTGAGCTGCAGCTGCTGCTGCTGCCGTTGCTGCTGCTGCTGCTGCTGCTGCTGCTGCTGCTGCATGCGTTCTGTGTGGCTGCGTGGGCGTGGCTGCAGTGCATGGACAGCTTCAGCAAACAGCGCAGCAGCTCAGGGGTGACCACTGGTCTGTTTGGCAGCCAGTGGCACGCAGCAGCAGCAGCAGAGTCAGCAGCAATGCAGCAGCTGCTGCTGGAGATGGGAGACCCAGATAGAGCAGCAGCTGCTGCTGTTGCTGCTGCAGCAACTGCAGCAGAAGCTCTCACTGGCTGGCTCTGCGTCTTAAGCGCTCTCGGCAAGGGTAAGAAGCAATAGTAAACGGCTGCTGCTGCAGCAGCAGCAGCAGCAGCAGCTGCTGCTGCTGCTGAGTGCTGTTGCTATAATTATTCAGGAAGTCCATGTCAGCTGCTTCGTTCCACTGCAACGACTGAAGTTGCCTGGTGCTGCTGTGGCTACTGCTGTTGCTGCTGCTGCTGCTGCTGCTGCTGCTGCTGCAGGATTTGGGGTTGTAGGAGCGCAGGTTGCTGTGCAGCTCAGCAGGGAACTTGTGAGTATTTGCTGCTGCTGCTGCTGCTGCTGCTGCTGATGCTGCTCGTTCAGCGGCTGCTGCAGCAGCAGCAAGACACTACTGCAGCCACGGCTGCATTGACCCATCAACACTGCTCCCGCTGCTGCTGCTATTGCTGCTGCTGCTGCTGCTGCTCTTACTGCTGCTGCTGCTGCTGCTGGGTTTCTGCTGCAGGCTCTGTCGTGTCTGCAGCAAGAAGCAGCACAGGGAGACGTTTGCTGCTCTCTCCTTTCGCCGCTGCTGCAGGACGCGAACTTCAGTGAGAATTCAATTTGTGTCTTTTGTCTTTCTCAGTTTCTCTGCTGCTGCTGCTGCTGCTGCTGCTGCTGCTGCTGCTGCTGCTCAGCTGCTGCTGAGTACTTCGGTGCTGCTGGCAGTGCTGGTGCTGCCGAGGCAGCTGTTGCTGCTGCTGCCTGCGCTGTTGTTTGGGCTACTGCTGCTGCTGCTGCGTTGCATGCTCCCCCCACAGCTGCTGCTGCTGCTGCTTAGCGTGCTCCCTCCATGGCTGCTGCTGCTGCTGTTGCTGCTGCTGCTGCTGCTGCTGCTGCTGCTGCTGCAGCGATGCGAGACTGTCTCTACCGCCTTCGGGTGTACAGGGAGCCAATCCTCTCAGCAGCAAAAGGCTGTTCAGTGCTGGTGCAGCGGCTGCTGGAGGAGACATTTGTGGTTTAAGCATGCAGCAAGCTTTGCTGCTGCTGCTGCTGCTGCTGCTGCTGCTGCAACACTGTTCTCAGCAGCAGCAGCAGCAGGAGCAGCAGCAGATGTGCCAGCAGCTTCAGCAAGCGCGTTTCTCAGGCCATCAAGCCTCGAGTTTTCCAGCATTCCGTTGCTGCTACTGCCGCTGTGCTGCTGCTGCTGCTGCTGCTGCTGCTGCTGTGCTGCAGCAGCCACAGCCCACTGTCTCTTGTCTCCTTTTGCTCTTTTGGCCCTGTGGGGCCCCGCTGCTGCTGCAGCTGCTGCAGCAGCGCAGCAGACTCGTTGGCCCTAAGGAAGATGCGTTTGGAAGCGTTCGTGTCTGCTGCTGCGTTAACTTGCTGCAGCAGCAGCAGCTGCTGCAGCAAGTGCAACAGCAGCAGCAGCTGCTGCTGCTGTTGCTGCCTCCTGCTGCCGCGTGCTGCTGTGCTTTGCTGCTGCTGCTGCTGCGCTGTAGACCTGCAACTAGCGGGACTGCATTAAGAGCCTCCCCACCTTTAACTGTAGCTAGCTGGGGCTGCCTGTGGCTAGCTGGGGCTAGCTGTAGCTAGCTGCTGCTAACCTGAGTCAGCTAGCTGCAGCTAGCTGTGCCTAACTGTGGCTCCCTGTGGCGAGGTCAGCTAGCCGTAGGTAGTTGCGGCTAGCTGTAGCTAGCTGCAGCTAGCTGCAGCTAGCTGCAGCTAGCTGCAGCTAGCTGTGGCTTGTTGAGCTGCCTTTGGCTAGCTCTAGCTTGCCGTAGCTAGCTGTCGCTCGCTGCGGCTGGCTTTGGCTAGCTGCGGCTAGCAGCTGGCAGCTACGGCTAGCCGTAGCTAGCTGTGGCTAGCTGTGGCTAGCTGTGGCTAGCTGTGGCTAGCTGTGGCTAGCTGTAGATGCCTGTAGCTAGCTGTAGCTAGCTGTAGCTAGCTGTAGCTAGCTGTAGCTAGCTGTAGCTAGCTGCTTGGCAACGCAGCCCAATCTGTCGCCCACATGGCCATGAGCTGCTGCAGCATTCGTTTTGCTGCTGCTGCTTCATTTGTTGCTGCACTCCAAGTTAGGGTTTAGGGTTTGGGGGTCTGCTAGCTAGGGTTTGTCTAGGGTTTAGGGTTTGGCATTTGCACAGCGGCGGATATTAAAATGAAAAGTGGTTAAGAGGTTTTTGCATGCAGCTGCTGCAGCTGCTGCTGCAGTGGGGTGTACAGACAGCTGAGCAGCAGCAAATTAGAATAAATGAATGTTTGCATGCAAATATGTTTAAAGAAAGGACTTATTTATATTTAAGTAATTTTAACATTTTTATTTAAACAATTTTAATTTTCATTTATCTTTAAATGCATTTATTTGCTTCTCTTTTTCGAATCATCCAATGCAGGCAGCAGCCTCGCTGTACAGCTTTGTTAGGGCTTAGGGTTTGGGGTTTAGGGTTTAGGCATGAGGTTTTGGGGTTTAGGGTTTAAGGTTAGGGTTTAGGGTTTAAGTAAGGTCTACGATTAAGGGATTAGGGTCTACGGTGAAGGGCCTACGGTTTGGGAATTAAGGTTTAAGGGTTAGGGCTTAGGGTTTAGGGTTTAGGGTTTATGGTTTAGTGTTTAGGGTTTAGGGTTTAGGGTTTAGGGTTTAGGGTTTCGGGCTTTAGCTGCATCCTGAATTATCGTTTTTCCTTGTCATTTCCATCAAAAAGCCAGAAATAAAAGCTTATAAACTCAAAATAATTAAATTAATTAATTTATTTACATTTAAAAATATAAATAAAGCCATTTAAACCCCAAATGTTCACTTCACTTAATTTGCTGCTGCTGCATGAGCTGTGGGGCTCGGGGGCCCCCGGGGGCCCCCAGCCCTTGGGGGCCCCCCCGGAAGCCTGGGCTCAATTTATCGCTAAATAAAGAATAAATAATGAAAAAAAACAAAAATAATAAATAAATAATAAATAATAAATAAATAAACTTCTTTTTGAATGCTTAACAGCCACTGAGGCCGAGAGTGGCTCAAAACCCCCCCCGCTTTTTGCTGCTCTTCATATTTCTTAACTTGTTTCCAACCTTCCATGGCTAAGGCCCAAAAGCAGGCCCGGGGGGCCCCCGGGGGGCCCCCCGGGGGCCCCCCGGGGGCCCCCTCGGGGGGCCCCTCTTCCCGGGGGGCCCCCCTGGCTGGCAAGCAGAAGGGGGGCCGCCAACTCGTGAGGAGAAACAAAGAGGAAAAGAAAAGTAAAAAAAATAAAACCAAATTGCTTAAAGGGGACTTCAGTGTACCCACTCTTGAGGAGTTCGAGGGGCCCCCCCAGGGGCCCCCAGGGGGGCCCCCAGGGGGGCCCCCAGGGGGGCCCCCAGGGGGGCCCCCAGGGGGGCCCCCAGAGGGGGCCCCAGGGGAGCTTCCAGAGGGGGCCCCGGGGGGGCCCGCAGGGGGGCCCCCAGAGGGGCCCCCAGAGGGGGCCCCAGGGGGCCCCCACGAACTAGAGGGAGAGGGGAAGCAGAAGGACTTGAAGGGTCACGAGGAAGCCTTTTGGAAGGGTAAGTTGCAGCAGCAGCAGCAGCAGCAGCAGCAGCAGCAGCAGCAGAAAAGGCTTTAACTGTCTTTTTCTGTAGTTCTGCGTACTGGGATGCTTTTAGGGTTTAGGGTTTAGGGTTTTGGGTGTCTGTAAAGGAGACACGCTGGGCAATAAGCTTCTTCTTTTTAGGGTTTAGGGTTTAGGGTTTAGGGTTTAGGGTTTAAGATGCCTCAAAGAAAACATATCGAGAGTTGAGGGTTTAAGGCTTTAGGGTTTAGGGTTTAGGGTTTGAGAGCCTCTAGGAGACATCCCCATGGACGAATTCCATTTTTTCTTTTCTTTTTTCTTTTCTTTTCACTTTCTTTTCTTCTCACATTCTTTTATTTTATATATTATTTTGTTTTATTTTATTTTATTTTATTTTATTTTCTTTTATTTTCTTTTATTTTCTTTTATTTTCTTTTTTTATTTTTTCTGCAGACCCCAAAAGCCGCAACATTTACCGGCTGCTGCAGAAGCGCCTTTCGGGGCCCCCTGGGGGCCCCCCAGGGGGGCCCCCAGGGGGGCCCCCAGGGGGGCCCCCTGGGGGCCCCCTAAAGGGGGCCCTTGAGCGTGGGGCCCACAAAGATGCCTCAGATTTTATTCAAAAGGCCCTTTTGGCTTCTGCGGGGCCCCACAGAGGCAAAATAACTCTTGAGCAAATCCAAATGGCAAAACCCAAAAGGGCCCCCTACTAAGAGTACCCAAAAGCTTTTAGGGGGCCCCCAGGGGCTCCCAGGGGCCCCTAGGGGCCCCTAGGGGCCCCCTGAAACCCTTTAGGGCCTCCAGGGGGCCCCTTGGGGGCCCCTTGAGGCTCTATGATAGAGGAGTGCACCCAAATAAGGGTCCTAAAATAACAAGGGGGCCCCCAATAGGGCCCTCTTCTGTCGGTAAGGGCCCCCAAGAGGGGCCCCAAGAAGACCCGGGGGGCCCCTCTGGGGGCCCCCTAGGGGCCTCTCTCTAGGGGCCCCTCAAAGGAGCCCTCTGGGGGCCCTTTTATTGGACCCTCTAGGGGCCCCTCTAGGGGCCCCTCTGGGGGCCCCTTTGGGGGCCCCTCTAGGGGCCCCTTTTCGAGGCGGATTTGTTTTGGAATGTTTATAATTGGTTTGAACTAAAAAGAATCAATTATTGGCAAAAGTAAATTTGAAAATATATTTTTGTTTTTTATTCATTTATTGTATAAGTGCATTTATGCACAGAAATATAAGCAGCCTAAATACATATATTTACAAACATAAATACAATCTATTTACAATAAATAGTATTTGTTTAGAATTATTTATTTATAAATATATTTTTAATTTACAACTCCTCAACTTCCCGGCGCTGCGCTGCGCATTTGGGGTGTACGTACACCTCACTGCACCGCATGCATGCGCAAACCGCTGCAGTAAATAAATAAATAAATAAAACTTCCAGAAGGTCCAAAACAACTGGAAAAAAGCAAAAAAGATGAAGCGAGAAAGAACATCTTCTTCCCTTTTAAATTTGCACTTTTATCTGCATTTATATTTGTTTTTTTTTGCAAAATTTTGCCTTTTTTATGCCTTTTAGTGCATGCAAAAAGCCCCAAAAAAACTATTTGCATGCAGCAGCCCTTTTCTTTCTCGAGGCTTTTGTGGGGCCCCTTCTGGCTAGCTGGGGTGTATCTACAGCTCCCAGATAAGGGCACCCAGCAGGTCCCAGGGGCTCCCGCTGGGGGCCCCCCTTGGGGGCCCCATGGGGGGCCCCAAGGTGCCCCTAGTGAGGCCCCAGGGGGCCCCCCTTGGGGGCCCCCAGGGGGTCCTCAAGGGGCCCCTAGTGAGGCCCCAGGGGGTCCCCCTGGGGGCCCCCTGGGGGCCCCTGGGGGCCCCCTAGGGTCCCCTGGGGGCCCCTGCTAGGGGCCCCTCTCTGTATTCCACAGGTCTTTCTATTTTGCCCCTCTTGGGCTCTTAGGCAAGGGGGGCCCCCTAAAGGTCTAAGAAAAGACCTGGGGGCCCCCTTGGAGTACCCTGGGGGCCCCAACAATGCCTTTGGCCTTAATAAGCCGTGGGAGGGGCCCCCCAGACCCCTGCAGCAAGGGCTTGAGGTGTCCAGACACCAGGAACGGCCCTGAAGGACTGCTGCTGCTGCTGCTGCTGCTGCTACTGCTTCTGCTGCTGCTGCTTCTGCTGCTGCTGCTGTGGACTGCGCAGCTGTGGATCAAAAGCTGAGGAAGCTTTTACCGTGGAGCCTAAGACAAGCCCTCTAGCGGGCGCAGCAGCAGCTTCTGCTGCTTTTGCTGCTGCTGCTGCTGATTCAGTGCAGCAGCCGCTGCTTTTGTTAGGTAAAGCAGCTGCTGCAGCTGCTGCTGCCAGGTGCGTCTGCTGCTGCTGCAGCGAAATGAGCAGCAGCAGCAGCAGAAGCAGAAGCAGCGGGAGCAGCAGGTCCGAGGCTGCTCCCAGTGACCTTCTAATGCGCTGTGCTGCTTCTCCGGGAGTTTTTGTTTCGAGAAAAGTTTAAAAAGAATAAAAAATGATTTCAAATTCAAAAAATTAATTATAATTAATTAATTAATTAGAAGTTTTGCTGCTGCAGCAGCAGCCTGAACCCCAGGAAGACAGAGGCCGTGTTCTGGCTAGCGCTCGCCGCAGCGGTGCTGCTCGTTGCTGCTGCTGCTTCCCGCTGCTGCTGCTGCTGCTGCTGCTCCACCTCCCCGGCCAGTGGATTGCTTTTTTGTTTGTCTTTTTGTCTGTTTTTGATTTTTCAATCAGATCTTTTTTTCTTTTTTGCAAGCAGCAGCAGCAGCAGCAGCAGCAGCAGCAGCAGCCGTCTCGCTCCCGGTGACTCGGTGTTGCCCGTGAGCTGTCTTGTGTTGTCTTTTTGTGCTTCTCCATTCTTCCATTTCAAACTTTCGGAGCAGCAGCAGCAGCAGCAGCAGCAACACCAGAGGCCGCTTTCCCTGAGATCGGCTCCGTCTTCGCAGCAGCAGCAGCAGCAGCAGCAGCAGCAGCAGCGATGGCGCTCACCAAGACCTCCTCTCCCTGGGGCCGGGCACCTCGCCTGGCCTGGCTAGCTGGCTCTTCCCTGCTGCTGCTGCTGCTCTGGGGCCCCTCAGCAGCAGCAGCAGAAGGGGACCTGCTGCAGGTTGAGAAGCCAATGAGGGAGCGCAGCAGATCCATCAGCGGCAGCAGCAGCAGCAGCAGCCTCAACCCCCCCAGCGCTGAAGACGAGAGAAGAGCCCGCAGAGGAGCTTCGCTTCCCCTAGAGTAAGCAGCAGCAGCAGCAGCAGCAGCAGCAGAAGCCGCAGCAGCAGACGCGGCAGCAGCAGCAGCAGCAGCAGCAGAAGTCGCAGCAGCAGCGGGAGAGTTGCAGTATAAGTAGCAGCAAAAACAGCCGATAACTTCGGAAGGAGTCAGAAGACGGAGCAGAAAGTAGCAGCAACATTAGCAGCAGCAGCAGCAGCAGCAGCAGCAGCGAACAGCAGCAGCAGCAGTCGCCGCAGCTGAAGCGTTGCGCAGGCAGTAGTGCTTCACCCCCCTATGGGGCTTAGGATTTAGGGTCCAGGGCCTAGGGTTTAGGGTTTAGGGTTTAGGGTTTAGGGTTTAGGGTTTAAGTAAGGGTTTATGTGTTGTGTCTTACTCTCAGAGTGGAAAGGACTCAAGGAGTTCAAAGTAAGTCAAAGCAAACCACATTCGCTGGGGCAATGGGTTTAAGGGTTTAGGGTTTAGGGTTTAGGGTTTAGGGTTTAGGGTTTAGGGTTTGCGGTCTAGCCATCTCAAATCCTACGAGGGCCGCAGCCACATTCTTCCGATTTGCTTTGCTGTGCATTTCTTTGCCGCAGGAGTGAGGATTCAAACCCTAAACCCTAAACCCTAAACCCTAAACCCTAAACCCTAGGACGCCTGGGGGCACCTTCGGTGCTAGGGTTTGACGGCTGCTGTTCTCTCTGCTGAAGAAATACAGTTCTTCTTTCGCACCCGCTGCTGCACTTGCTGCTGCTGCACTTGCTGCTGCTGCTGCTGCTGCTTTTAGCGCTGTTGCTGGCTGCTGCTGCTGCTGCTGCTGCTGCTGCTGCTGCTGCTGCTGCTGCTGCTGCTCACACCCTGTTTTGCTGCTGCTGTCTTTGCGCAGTCTCAGAAGGACATATCCGTTTTAGAGGACTACGGCCCAAAGGGTAAGTCTACACAGCGCCGCACATCCCATGCCATTCTTGTAGCTAGCTAGCTAGCTATCTGCCTTTCTCCTTAGCTAGGTAACTAGCTAGCTGTCCGTCTCCCTGCTTAGGGTAGCTGAATGTTTATCCCGGATATCTGCAGATGCAGCCAGCTAGCCAGCTAGCTAGCTAGCTAGCTGGCTAGCTCGTCGGCTAGCTTACGGGTCAACTAGCCATCACAGAGGCTGTAGCTAGCTAGCTCGTCAGCCAGCAGGCCAACTAGCTATCTAGCTCCCTAGCTAGCTAGCTAGAGAGCGAGCTAGCTCCCCAGCTAGCTGGCTAGCTAGCTAGCTCCCTAGCTAGCTAGCTAGCTCTCCGCTCCCAGCTAGCCAGCCAGCTAGCTAGCTAGCCAGTCAGCTAGCTAGCCTGCGCACCCACCCAGCTGTCTAGCTAGCTCCCCACCGCGGCTCCGCAGCCAGCTCGCCGTCGAGCGAGCTCTCCGTGCCGTTCCGCGTGCCACCTGCTGCTGCTGCTGCTGCTGCTGCTGCTGCTGCTGCTGCTGCTGCTGCTGCGCTGCAGTGGAGGAGTACCTGCAGGGGAAGCCAACAAAAGCTGCGCTGCTGGGGGCCTTCGCTAGCCAGGGCACTTTGGGGCTGGGCCCCACAGACTCGATGCCGGTGGAGAGTTGTGGGGTTTCTCCAATGGCGCGTCTGTACACTCCGGACGAGGTGCAGCAGCAGCAGCAGCAGCAGCAGCAGCAGCAGCAGCAGGGGGCGCCCGGGCTCGGCAGCGTGCAGCAGCTGCAGCAGGACTACGAGGTGTACGTACACCACTTCCGCGAAGACATGAATTCCATCCGCAGCGAAATCATCAAAAAGCCCCACCGCGCCTTCAGACTCGCCGTCGTCCAGTGGTCAGCCTCACGCAC